TTGAACCCCTCGGTCCACACTTCAAACAGCCAGGGTAGAAAAACCTCGCAAAGACCCGAACAAGTCAACCTAAGGGGGCGCGCGCTCAGTGTACTCGACCGCCGCGACGGCCTCCAAATCCGGAGTTGTGTCTGAGTCAGAGAACGTCGGAGCCAAATAATAATATGACAAGCAACAAAAAATATTTAGAACCTTTAATYGTGAAAATGTGGCGAACGGGGAGAGCGAAACATTAGCCCCGCCCTAACGCCACCGACGGCAAAACCAARGGGGATAGCCCCGCCAGGCCCTCAACCCCGCGGTCCCTTCGCGCCACTCTGATATTCCCGCATTGTCGTCGCTCGTCCTCGATCCCTGAGTCTCCCTGATGAAAGTCCGACGCCGTAACTAATAGCGCTAGGTCCAAGTCTGAGACCCACATCCGCGGAGTGTCATATGAGGCGGTGCGGCACTTCGTTCAGGGCCAGGGAAGTGGGCCTGGGCTCTGCTTACATTCGTGCGCGCGGCCGCCCAGCGTCTGCGCCGACTTACTAAGCTGTACCACGGCCGCCACTCGCGCCACCCCACGTGCCAAGACCTACCGCAGTCACACTGTCGCCGTCGACGCTGCCGTCCTCGCACGCACGCTCACCTCGGTCATATGTACCAATCAACCGAAAATATCCCTAATTCCTGCTTAATCAATTACAAATAAATATTAATAATATTATTAAACAAAACAACCGATGTCCGACCGGCTTTATGATCAACAGCAGAAAAGAAATCACGCGCGCCTTAAACCTGCGCGCCCACGCACTCTTTATTCTAGTCAACCACCCCTGTCGTCGTAAACCACAAATGCGGCTGCGCCTCGCGCGGAACACTTAAACTCTAAACCAAACTATTTTCTGTCACTTGCAAAAACCAGGGCGGATACCCTTATAAGGGTATTCGCACCGACAGCTTACCGGACCATATTAAGCGACGTCCCCATCGCTTCGCAAAATCGGAAAGTTATAAATTCATCCGCACTCCAAGTGCTGACGAGAAAGGAACCAATCCGATTAGCCGACAGACTCGGATTTGAGGCCTCCATCAAACCGTGCCCACACAACTATATGCCGCCAGGGTTCTAACCTGAGTCTCCATTGCCCTTACACTAGGACGCAGGCGTATTACGCATCAATACTACAGCATAAGTTCCAAAGGCCACCTCAAACCATCCTCTCCCCTTTTGTCTTAGACAAACGCCGACTTCTCGTTGAGTATCCCGGCTAGACTCTATCTCGTAAGCAGAGTCATACCCAGGGACGCGGGCCTTAAATGAGACCTCAAAAGGCAAATCTCGCCTTCCTCGCGAAAATCCTCACAATCAAACATATATTTATACATATATAAATCTTCTCTCAGCTCTTTCTGCAGTCTAGTACAGAAATGCTAGGTCTCCATCCTAACCCACCATAGTCTGGTTGATCGAGCCAGATCTACGGCCTACCGCATTGTTATCTTAACGACAGTTCCTTCGTTGGTTATGCAACAATAGGTTTTCTCCTGATAAGCATTCAATATGGACTACCCGAAGTCTCGACTCACATCCCCCGCCATCCTACCGGAGTAATTTCCCTGTAGCGTGCATAACCCCTCAAACTCTTACCCCGTTGGTAGACGTGGGTCCGCAACCAGGTTGTGCTGGCTTGCAGTCATCCAATAGGAGTTGCGCCCTAGACGTGCTAACCTTTACCGTTTAGCTTGGTATTCCTCAACATGCCTTGGGATTAGCACAAGTGTCTGAGCGGTGGGTCGCAAAACAGACCACAGGCCCACTGGGGGACTACGCAGGGGTCTGTCTCACTTTAAAGGCGTTTACCAGTTCCGTACGGGACAGCATAGGAAACCTGGCCCCTTTTCACAATCATAAACAGATTCACCGCCAGGCTCATACACAAGGCCGTGACCTACTGACTTGATCAGAGACAACAACCCACACATCCCACGATATCTTAATGCACTGACTTGCGACCTTCTCAGTTCCACCAATAATCCTGTCTGTAATTCTGGTTCCTCTCGTCATGCTTTATCAACTCAAACACTGCTTACCATGCCCTTAGATCTGTTAACCACCTTTTGCACGAAGGAGGTCTCTCTCAATAGGTCTCCCAGCCATCCTTCTCTTTCTAGGATGAGCTATCACACGACCCATTTTTAAAATGCTTCCCTTCTGGAGATGAGCCTTCCGATAAACAACACTACCACCTCCCTCAATCTAAAGGGGTCTCCATCACAAAACAACTCAACCCGAGAGGCCTATTTGTGGGTCCTCTCCACAATTCAACCACAAAACAACTCGAGTAAGGGACCTGCTTATGCGTCCTTTTTACAATTTAACCATAGAACAACCGACATGGTATGTACTCGAGTCTCAAAGACTCGCAAAAATCACTTGGGGTTCTCACGCTTTCACAACAACAGACTGCACTCCCTCCCCTTATACCCGGCCCTGTCCTGCTTGTAGGCAGGCCGCACGAGTATACCGAAGAGTAGACAGTTCACATCCATTCATCCTCACAAATTCCACACAACCCAATACACATGATATGTATCTCACACATCTTTCACACAACGTCATCATACATCAGGATAAACCACACATGTGAGAGTGATTGTGATCGTCATATACAAAAATTGGTCTCAGATAAAATCTCGACTCAATATATACACAGGGGTACAATACCCCAGCTTAAACATGAACCAAATGGTCCCGAATTACATATGTACACAAAGAGTCCAACCATCTTGGACTCAAACCGTCCCCGGTATCACACAAGAACAAAGCCGCCAAGTAATTCAAGACATATCCAGATATCCTAGGACAGGTAAAACTAGAAGTCATTCATACACAAGCCTTACAACTTCCTTCCTAGGCTAGAAAGCCTATCTCCCACACGTTGAGGTTTCTTCCCGAGCCTCTCCTACCACTCAAACCTATACAACCATTCAGGCCTGGACACGACGTAGGTCCCATATCTTC